TGTCCCCAATACTGAGCACAGTATTTAGCACATGGGAAGCCCTAATAAATGCCCTTCCCTCCCTTCCTCTCTCCCTTCTTTCCTTCCTCTCCCACTTCTTTCCACCTTCTCCACCCTTTTCCTCTCATTCCCATCAATGATCTCATTCTATCCTCAACCTAGGTAAGGTAAAGTGGGTAGAGAATCTATTCTATCTTACAAATGAGAAAATGGAGGGCCAGAGATGTTTAAGGGCCCACCTTAAGGAGTTGCTGGTAGAAGTGAGACTAGAATCCAGATTTTCTGATTCTAAATGCCAAGCTGTGTCTCCAGCTCCCCCTGTACCTCTGGAGAGGCTAGAACTAGGCTGTTGCTTGGTGGTTAGATCTGAGTGACCCCCTGAGGTGTTGTTGCTGAACAAAATTTGCCACCTACTATAGTTGTTTGGGGCAGCCCTGTGGCAGATAGATAGTGGATAGACTGCTGGACTTGGATTCAGGAAGATCTGAGTCTCACTACCTGTGTGACCCTGGGAAAGTCACTTAACCCCTATTTGCTTCAGTTCCTCATCTGTAAAATAGGGGCACATGAATAAGGTAATGGCAAACCACTCTAGTAATTTTGCCAAGAAAACTCCATGCACTTGTCCATGGCGTCATGTAGAATTGGACACAACCAAACAAGTGAACAATGGCAATAGTTGCTTAATTGGTTATTTACTATTTCAGGACAGATGTTTACTTGGATTTTAAGAGCACCATGGATTACATTCTAGAGTAAAGCACCCTGGGCTGCTGGTCATGAGGTCTTTGCCATCTTAAGTATGTGGTGGTAAATCTCCAAGTACGGCTCTTTTAGCCATACTATTCTAGGATTCTATCCCCAGCCATCAGTCTCCAAGAAGCCTTCTAATTAACCCAGACCACTCTGTTCCCCATCAATGATCTCTCTTCTACAATTTCCACCTGAATGTTGCCTTCTTTGTAGCAATAAATTTATGTTGAGGCATCTCTCAATAAATCATAGGATCACAGGGCTGGAATGGACTTCAGTGGCCAATCTAGGCCAACCCATTCTCCTCAAAAGGGTCTCCTCTATATGTGACAAGTGTTTATCCATTGATCACTTGAAGATCTCCAATGAAGGAGGGTCCATTTCTTTGGTGAAGTGCTCTAAAGTTTCTCATTACCTCAAGCTTAACTGCCTCTCTGTAACTTCCATCCAATGATCGTAGTTCTGCCTTTTTTCTTTTAAAGGCAATCAGGGTTAAGTGACTTTGCCCAGGGTCATACAGCTAGTAAGTTTCTGAGGTCAGATTTGAGCTCAGATCCTCCTGACTCCAGGGCTAGTGCTCTATCCATTGTGCCATCTAGTTGCCCCTAGTTCTGCTCTTTATAGCCAAATAGAACAAGTCTAGTTCTGTGGCCACATGGCAGCCCTTTGAATTCTTGCTTGACAAGAGATTTTATACCCCATTTCCCTGGTCTTTTCTTCCTCAGGCTCAATATCCCCCTTCCCTTCCTTTAATTTCCAATTGAGCACTTCCTAAAGTGTGGTGCCCAGGACTGGACACAATACTACATATTTGTGATCTGAACAGGGCAAAGGATGGTAAAACTACCACCTAATCCCTGGAAATGTCTTTCTTAATTCAACTGTATTATCTTTTTTTGTGGCCACCATGTCACATCATTGGTCCTATTGAACTTAAAGTCAACCTAAGCCCATTGGATCTTTTTCAGACATGCTGCTTTCTAACCATGCTTCTCCCCATCTTGTACTTGTGAAGTCAAATTCTTTTTTTTTTAAATAAATTTATTTATTTATTTTTAGTTTCCAACATTCACTTCCATAAGATTTTGAGTTCCAAATTTTCTCCCCCTCTCCCCTCTCCCTCATGAAGTCAATTTCTTGAAACCAAGTATAAGACCTTTATCTCCTTCATTAGAATGGAAACTCCTGGGCACGGTGGATAGAGCTCTGGCCTTGGAGTCAGGAGGACCTGAGTTCAAATTTGACCTCAGACATATGACACTTACCAGCTGTGTGACCCTGGGCAAGTCACTTAACCCCAATTGCCTCACCCCCCCCAAAAAAAGAATGGAAACTCCTTGAGGGCAGGAACAGGCCTTTTCATTACCCAGGCTCCCAATGACTTGGAACAGGCCTAGAACCTCTAGAAGGGTACAAAGGAACCTGTTGATTTAACTCACCCACTTCTCTCCCCACTTTCCTCCTCCCCCTCCCCCAAGGCCTCAGAGACAGAATGCCAGCTGATTCCCTGGAACGAAAAAAAAGTACCAAACGCCTCTGTTCAAAACAGTTTATTTTATTTTATTTTTTTGTCAGACAAACACATTGATTTCTGGACCACAGTAGAGGATGGAAACCTTTCACAAACTTATTTATTTGAAAATACAAATATAAAATTATACTTTCCACATCTGAGATGTGAGAGACTGCCATCCACATAGTAGTTTTTACAACAGGGCTTTAAGTAAGCCACACACAAAGACCTGAAAGATGCTTGATATATATATATATAGATACATATATATGTATATATATAAAAAAAATACTCACTACCAAAGTTCTCATCAGTTTCATACTAAAGTATAAAAGTAAGGGTGAGGTCAGCCACAGTGCTGGGGAAAGTTTTATTTAGATACATTGATGTCCACATGAAATGCTTCAACTTGCATCCTAGTACACATGGAATTTTGACTTTACAATACACCATGAACAGTGGGTTTGCTGGCCCACCATACTCAGTATGACACTCACAGATTCCACACGGGATGGGACAGTATGTACAGAATACAGTGACAGAGAGCCGCTGGGAGAGGCCTCTGATGCTTTTTTAGTCTGTCCAGCCCCCACCCCCCCAACCCCTACCTGACCCGGCTCCCTAGATCTAAAATGAAATTCTGTCAAAGACAATCCATTTTGATTGTTTGGTAGCTTTTGGCCACAGGGCTTTGATGAAGGGCCCTTCTGCCAATGGGGTGGTTTTGTGTGTGTGTGTGTGTGTGTGTGTGTGTGTGTGTTTATTTGGTTAAAAAAAACAAACTTACTACAGTATTAAAGTATTGCTTAACTTACAGAAGATCTCCTCATGTAGTGTCTGTGCCCAAGAGATGGGCTGAGCTGAGTTCTGCGTATTTCAATGCCATTAGGATGAGGACAGGAGGACCCACCAGTGTATATCTATCTCCAATGTGCCTGCTTCTCCTTCCCTTTTGCTCCCCACACAGATCCCTTGCTATCCCCTTCCTTGGGAAAATATCTTGGCCTGTGAAGCACATTCAAGAAAAATATTCTCCTCCCCCCAAATTCCCTCTGTCCCTGCGTGCCATTTCCAATAGACTAAAGATAAGTATGAGTTAGTGTTCTTTTTTTTTGTAAACAATTTCATATGCAATATAATACAGAAAGCATGGCTGACCATCAATAAAAATGTAGTAAACTATATTGCTTTATTCTTGATTATGCTGCAGTAAGTAAGTGAATGGCAGAATGAAACAGTGTGGTTGGTGGAGGTGGAGGCTAAGTCCCTAGCCCTCGCTTGCACTAAAGATCAAAATAGGTTGGTAATTTTTTTCTTCCTAGCCAGAAAATAAAAATAGAACAAAAAAAAAAACAAAAAGAAAGAAAGGAAAAAACAAAACAAAACCAAAACAAAAACAAAAAAAAACCCAAAACCATAAAAACAAAAAACAAAAAACTGAACACCTTTCAGGTCATTAGAACCAACAATTACCCAATGATTGAACTAGTCTAATAAGATGTGTGTAACATTTACTGGCTGTGGATTGCTGTAAGATGAGAAATTAAATGGACAGCAATAGAGCCATGCTACCTTAAAGTCCAAGCTACAAAGTTCAAATTAAAACAAACATTATGAAGGATAGAAATGCAAAGGCCAGGTCAGGCTTCGTTTGAATCAAGCCAATGGGTGGTGGGGTGGGGAGGGAGCCCTGTGCTCTGTTTGGTTTTCCAATGGGGGTTGGGGTGGGGTGAGGAAGGCTGGGCTTGTCCATGTTTTCAAAATGCTCCTGGAGAGAAAAGCAGGGATTCTGTCCTCTCAAATACTGCCCTTTCTGGATGGGAGAGGAACAGGGGTGCAGGAGCTGTCCAGCAAATTCCATGCTCTTTCCATTGGGAGACAAGGTGCTCTTGGGGGCCTGGGCAGATGGAATTAGACTGACAGAACCATAGCCAGGTAGAGCTGGAAAGGCCCTGAAGGGTCATCTAGTCCAACCCCCTCATTTTACAGTTGAGGAAACTGAGGCCCGAAGTGGTGAAGTGACTTGCCCAACTGGCGGCTAGAATGTCACACAAGTGGCTATTTCCCAAACTTGGGGGAGAAGGAGAACTGATTGCTCAAATGGTATTCTCCCCCATAAAAGGTGGTTCCCAGGTCGCCATTGAGCTTAACTGAAACAAAGACGAGGCTGAACATCAGTGCTAAAATAATTTACAAAAATCTTTCAAAATGGACTTCTAGATGATTGGGGCAGGGGGAAGGGGGGGGACTAACGTGAACCTTAACCTAGGTAGCCACATTGAAACATATCAGATTCCACAATATTTGTGCTATGGGCTACTGGGTCTCTTCAAAAGGTATATAAACATCTAAAACATATTCACACAGATTATCAATTTCTTCTGAACATTCTTAAAAAAATATTTTTTCTCTTAGTAAAATCATTTTAATATACCATGCCTCCCTCTTTTAAAAAATAAATTAAAAAAATCCAGTTTTGCATATCTAGCATTAGCATTTAAGGTAGTATGGCAGACCCCTTGAAAGTTAAGGGGGGGGCGGGGAATCTACAAAATGCCGGGGAGTTGGCCAGCATTTTAACATTGTGAGACCTTTGGTTAGTTGAAACCACATCAGATCAGAAAAAAAAAAAGAAAAATAAGGAAAAGAAAAATAAAGAAAAAAAAACAAAGAAAAGAAAATTGACCTTAAAATTAAAAAAGACAATTAAAAAAGAAAAAAAAACTGCCCCAAAATTAGCATTTTGTTTTCTTAAATAAGAGAAAGTTCTATCCTTACTGGTCCTAAATCTGAATAACTACATCTAATTTTTTTTTAACCTTAATTACAATACACCTACCAATATGTACTAGAAGAAAGAGGAGAAAAAAAGTTACTACACTAGTATCAGGACAGCACACTTACAAGATAGCCATTTTATACATTATTAACAGACAATGGTCAACAAAGAATCATCTATGAGGTGACAGGGAATGAAGAGAAAACAAATGGTAGTACAGTACATCCTCAACATGGACAAAATATTAATAAAAAATTCCCTGGCACAGACATTGAATCACAGGGAATTGACTTCCTTTTTTATGTTGTTTTTTTTTGTTGGTTTTTGTTTTTTTGTGTTTTTTTTTAAAGAACCATCTACTTTATTGTTATTACTTGATCAAGTCTCAATATTTAAAAAGCGTCCAGCATTTTATACTTAACCTGGTTGTTCCAAAATAAGAAAGAACCAACCCCCCCCCCAAAAAAAACCCCAAACAAAACCAAAACCCACAACAACCCTAAAATGTTATGTTGGAAAAACAAAGAGCATGATTCATTTTATTTACTTAATCAGAACTGAGAAAGAAAAAAAAACCCAAAGCTTTTTTTTCCTTCCTTTCCATTCAGCATCATGGCGCCTCTTGCTTGAAGATGCCTTTGCGCTACCCTGCCTAGTGAATGCCTACATTAGTCTACTCATTAGTAACATTTATAAAAATAGGAGTGCAGCAGCTCTTTATAATAAATGTCGCATTCAGTGTCTCATACTGGCTGTGCCTCGAGTACCAAATTTATAAACGTAACAATTTAAAAAAATATTAATAAAACTTGTCAATATCACGTTAAAAAAAGAAAAATATATTCACACTACAGTATGTTGTTGGTGTTGCTGTTGTTTAATGCCATCTACTGAGTTGTACTTTTCTAAGTTGCTGTTGCAGGCCTATTTACCAATATTAAAAAAATTAAATTAAAAAATATCCTTCATCATAAGTATCTTTTCCCCAACTGAGGACCATATATTATAACAGCCAAATATTAAACATGTGCAAACAGGAAATTGTCAGTTTTTCCCACCAGTCACAGTGCAGTGATGTTTATACTTTTTAAAAATGTTTTAATTCTGTTTACATCTACAATAAATTAAAAACAAAACAAAACAAAAAATCTTCCCTAGCCTCTCTGGTGATACTCGCAGCACTGAGGTATTAAAAAAAAAACATAAAGAGTTTGCTTTCTTAATTTGTTAATGGAAAGAATAATGGATAAAGATATCAACAATGGAGAACTAGCCATCCCTGGCCCAAGGGCTCCAGACTGGGGGAGGGGGAGAGAGAGGAAGGGGAGAAAAGAGGGAAGCGTCTTGGGTGACACTTGGAGGAGCTGAAATGATTGGACGATAAAAACGAATCTAATTTTTTAAATGACTAAAAAAATATGCCCTCCCCCCTCCCCCAAGCCAAACAGGTGTGCTTTGAACTTTAAATACGTTAAATATTAACATTGCTATCTTTTTCAAAGTCTCGGGAAAAGCAGTATTTCATAGTTTAAATTAAAAAATACAACTAGACTGTTCATTGGAAGCTGTGTACAAAGGAGCAGTGAGTATGCTGGTGTGACACTAGTAGAATTCTTAGGTCTAATGTACTGACAAAAGAGCTAAACTGTGTTCTTTTTGACTTCATCAAGGGCAGCCCTGGCAGCTGATTGTTCTTAGACGTTAAAACTCAAAAATTGACCTTTTTTTTTTTTTTAAAAAAAAATTGGTTTCCTTTTTTGTTTCTTTCCACAGATCATCAAACTGCCTGGGACGAAGTCCCTCACAAAAATAGTTTTTTTTTTTTCATTTTCTCTTTCTTAATAGTTTCTATGTAGTTAATGGAATTGTATTTACAGCACTTATTATTTTTTTCTCCAGAATTCACAATTTCAAAAAATCTTATAATATCACCTCTTTCAACAGAAAAAAGCACTTATAGAAAAGAAGGACGACTGAAATGTTGTCGTCCTTACCTTATTGCCGAAAATAGATATACTTAGGTTAACAAAGAGACATCACAAAAATGAATCGCTAAAGAGCCTGTTAGTTAAGCTATGCTCTCGCTTCTACAAATGCAAATGAGAAACTTTTATGCCCAACTCCCGCTCCAGCGTTTCTCGACTTCGAATTTCAGAGTGTGCTAAAATTCCACCTGAAAAGTTATACAATTTCAGAATGGGCACCAAAAGGTTGAGAGTCACATTACCATCTCAGCATCCTTGAAGCAGGAACAGAACCAAAAATCACAACCAAAAAAACTTTTTTTTTTAAAAGAAAGTAAAATCCTTAATATAACAGTTATACTATGGTTAGCTTTTAACTACATATTAAAGCGACAAGGCTACTAGACTATGTCAAAAACACTACCAAATGTGATTCAAAGATATTTAAAAGGAAGGGTATGGGGGTGAGGATGGGACAAGGGGAGCTATCAAGAAAAAAAAACAAAAAACCCACAAAAATCATGGATTATATACACATTTTTAAAAGCTGTTATCTTATATAGTACAGCAGATTCATGAGATGATGAGATTGAATTCAACCCTCAGTCCGAAGTGAGCCATCTCCAGTGGGGGTGGGGGTGGGGAGTGAGGCTGAAGGTGTCCAGGTCTGAAGACATCACCTAAACAAAGGGCCACTCAGAAACTTCGCCCAGTCTTGCCTGGACATCCAGGTATGCTCTGTTGGAAAGGAGAGGACAGACACACCCAGAATGGGAACACACAGAGAGGGGTGGGGGTTGGAGGAGAGAAGTGTTACTGGTAGGTGGGCTACTTTTCACACAGAAATTTCAAAAGTGGCTTATGGGCCCTGTGTCACTATTTGTGTGTGTAATTAGGCATCTGGGCCAGTAGTTCTCAAACTTTTGTGTGTATGAGGACCCCTTTGTAATCTATACAAATTTTGAGGACCGTCCCCTTCGAACCACCATGTGGAGGCCCACTGGATAGCAGCTGGACACTACAGTACTGGATTGGACCACCCTCTGCAATCAGTTAATACCCCTCACTCCCATCCTCCAGCTGTCCTAAGCTCACAAGTAAGGAACCTCTTTTCTACCCTGGATCTGGATTTGGGGGCGGGGATGTGGGCTACTCTTGCTGGCCTGATTCAAAGGGTATGTTTTATATAGGTCTGGCTGCCTTCAGTAATGAAGCAAAGGAAGGTAGCTATAGTCCATGAACTATCAACATGCTACGTGTAAATCAGGGTCTCTCTGAATTTATATATAGAACAAATACGCCCACTGATTGTTTCTGCATCTGTGTCTATTTCTAAAGCTAGATGTGTCTAAATAATGAAAATATGTTTGCAGCCACCAGCATATTTGAATTTCATAAGGGCTATGTTTCATGCCAGGGTGCCAAACTCACAACACTCAAAAGGAATTTCTTTGAGCTTTGTCTACAGCAGCAGAAACAGAATCATGGTTTGTAGACTTGCTAATTGTTCTTCCCTGTTTTGGGCCATTTGCTTAAATCTAGACCATCTACCTGCCTTGTACAGATGGTGCTAAAAGCTAGTGACTGTTTTGGTCCTAAGACTTGTGACCTGCCTGCAATACCTCCTAGTCTTTTGCTGTCCAGTTCACCTCTCTTTCCCCTCCTGCCCCCACACCTGCCAGGCTCCACATTTCTTCCAGATTTCACCACTCTACCCTGGGAGGAAAATTTATCACCAAAACAGGATGGGCTCTGAGAGACATTCACCGAGGATGGAATGCCCCTAAAAAGCAATAAGGCACTATGGGGAACCGGGAGGAGGGTGAAGGAATGGGTGGATACGGAATACTGCCTCATCCCTTTCTGGGAGAACAAGCAGCGATATTGGCTGAGGCTATCTGGCCCAGCCTGATTAAGGAAGGTCTGGTCCCGCCCTCCTCAGACTCCACAAAGGCTTGAAATAATCTGAGACAACAAGGCCTCTCAGTCACATGATTTCTCTCCTCAATCTCCTGTGACTGCCTCTCTTCCTCTGCCCCTAAATCAGTCTTAATTAGTTGCGAGCAGCTCTTCACACAGTTAATAGCCTTGGGCTCAGGCTGGCAATGAAAGTGTCAGGACTCACATGGTGGGTAGGGGGAAACTCAGACATATTATTCACTTGGTTAAAAGGGGGGGCACATGGGCAGCTGGATTAGTTGACATGACTTTGTTAACCTTCCCCCCTCTCTGTCTAATACTCTCCTCAAAGTATAAGTTTGCTTTGGCCACATATCTGCTACCCCCCACCCCTGAGCACTAACATTAGAAAACCTCAGAAATTCTCCTAAGCTCAGCTTGCCACTCTGAGGCTCTGTCCTACAGACCTACAGAAGTCCCATAGGGTCTTCAGGGTGGATTACTGGTGTTTCTTTTGTTGACTGTGTGTCCTTTGCCACTCTGTGCCTTAGTTTTCCCCACCTGCAAAAATGGCAATACCTTTCACAGGATCAAAGACCCAGAGCTAGAAGGGACCTCTGATACCACCTTGGTCCAACCTCCTCTTTCTACAGATGAGGAAACTGAGGCCCAGAGAGGTTCAGTTACTTCCCTAAGAAGAAGAACTAAGATGCAAACATAACTCCTCTTAACGACAGAGTCAAAGCTCTTTTCTACTACAGGACTGTCCACCTTGCCCGTCTTCCCAGTGGGATGCCATGCAAGTTGCTGAAGTGATGTTTGTGCCAAAACATGAGGGCAGATGTAATAAAGGGAAAGCATTTTTTTTGGGGTGGCAATCAGGGTTGAGTGACTTGCCCAGGGTCACACAGCTGGTAAGCATCTGAGGCCAGATTTGAACTCAGGTCCTTCTGACTCCAGGGCCAATGCTCTATCCACTGCGCCACCTAGCTGAATAAAGGCATTTTGTCAAGTCACTTGGTTGGGCATTGAAATACCCACGTTATACCATGGCCCCACTCAGTGGCTAGCCATGGGAGATGTTATAAAGGCAGAATGAAAGAAGCTTTTGCATCCTGCCTTAAGGAATGCAAATCTATCCTTTAGAGCTGAGAATCAGAGACTGGTTCTCCCTACAACTCATAACCCCAGCAAAGGATTAGATAGGTGGGCCAACCCAATGGCAAGTTCATAGAGTTGGAAGGGACTTTAGAGAATTTGTTGCCAAATAACCACATTCCTCCCTTCATGTCTACTATGGTATTCTGCCAAAATAACAGAGGGCCATTCCTCTAGCCTCCTCCCACACTCCATCAAACCCTAATACACATCATGAGCTGCAGGAAAGAGTTGCTCAGAACTGTACCCTACTATTATACTCTTCCACCCTGAAGAGGGAGGCACGTGTAATTAGCATACTTCAAATCCCTAAACTAACATGCCAGCAAAAAACACCTTTGGTGGTTTCATAGGAAGAAGCCCGTGTCCTCTTCAACGATGTCTTCCTAAGAATGACGAATATTTACTCTCAAATGTGAAGATGGCAGGAAGTTCCCTTACTGTTCTCCCCCCACCCCAACTTTGCACGATTCAAAAAAATATTTAATTAACTTCAGCTCAGTTAAAAAGGTTAGGAAACTGGCAGTGATCCAAACCCATGTTAGGCAGGTGATGTCGTTAATTTAATTTGCTCAGGTTTTAGTGCTCTAATCTGGATAATTGCTCACCAGTTATAGGCAAAAAATGTTTTCTTTTCAGTAAAACACTAAGTTCAGTTTTTTAACTGTAGAATTCTCATTGGTTCAATTTTCTTTGAACACTGGAAAGACTCCAGAAACTGAAGAGGGGGACTTACCCTACTCCAGGGCACAGGAGTCCCTGACCACTTGCACCCCCTCCTCAGGGATATTTCCCTGGGGAAAGCTGGGCAGGGCCATTTTCTTGATCTGCTTCCTGGTGTTTATAAACCAGCAAACCCACCCATGGCACATGGCTGGGCACAAGATCTCCTTCCAGTTTCCCATAGTCTTGATTACATTTCAAGAAAGAAAAGGGTGATGAGAAAGGAAGGGTAGATGGAGGCAGAAAAGAAGGGAAGGGGGGGAGAGAGAGAGAGAGAGAGAGAGAGAGAGAGAGAGAGAGAGAGAGAGAGAGAGAAGATTGGGAGCAGGGGAAGAAAATGAGAAAGAGAAAAGGGGTATGACTGAAACTGAGTGGGGAGAAAAGATTTTGGAAAGGAAGTCCAAAGAAAGAAAAGTATTGAGTGGATGGGGTTGGGGAGTGAGAAGAGGGTGTGACCTTATATGTATGTTCAGCTCCCATACATGTATGGACACTCCCAGACAAGGCAGAGATATATGGCAGAGACTTTAATACCTCAGAGTGAGATGGCAACAAGAACACCTGCTCAATGGTATCCATTTGTAAAGGCCGTTGCAATCAAAGGTCCCTAAAATTGCATAATTGTTAAGGTCATCAGTGAGTGCACTATACATTGGAACAGATAGATTGTTCAGGGTGCTATACATTGGAATGTACTGGGAAATTCTTGGGAAAAGGAAGCGTCAACAAGACTAGCTGTGGTTGCTAGCATGAATGTGTCATTTTGAGACACCGCACCTTGAGGGACTTGGGCTAAAGTCATCATTCTTATTAGAAAGAGGATGGGGGAGGGAGAAAATATGAGCACCCCTGTCCCCACATAATAAAAGTTAAAGCACTATTGGCTCTGTTTCAGAGAAAGAAGTTGAGAGCCTAATTTGGAAGTGGGATTGGGATCAGAGATAGGTAGGTTGGAGAGGTTGGCTGGCTGTGGATTCTGGCCAGCACCTTATAAGCTGCGGGTGATGGCTACTTTCTTCCATGGCCCTAGAGGTTCCATCTGGGGTTTAAGACACCATAGTACTGAAAAACTGGCCAGTTGTGCAGTGATTTTTTTTTAAAAGCAGGTCTATGAAGAAGTCCAAACACTTAAGTTTTCAAGAACAAACAGACCTCTTTTTCTTGAGGTAGAATTGGGGAGATAGGTGGCATTGAGAGCTGGTCATTTAAATTGATGAAGCTGCTGGATGAATAATAATATTTCTTATCTGATGGCACTACCGCTCTGAGTTACCTAAGTGACATTAAGATGGGAATTGAAAGTGGACCCAGAGGTCAAGGGTCAAGACTGGAAGTCCTCCTTCATGGGAAGGTGATTCTCACACTATAAGGAACAGGTCTCCCCCAGGCTCTGGCTCCCCAAACCCTGTCTCCCTCCCACCTTCTTAACCCAATTTCTCCAATAATATCTGCCTACTTCCCCCAATGAGTCCCAGATTTTGTTGAAGATGTTACCTGGGACTCCAGTCATTTCCCTATCTTGCTGAATTTTTCTTTTTTTTGGGGGGGGATGTAGAAAGTTTTGTCTCTAAAATGGAGGAAAGGGGACACAGGGACAGTAAGTGAGCGGGCTCAGACACATTCATGCTCACACACACGTGGGGAGTGCAGGGGAAAGACAATACAATCTGAAAACAGCATGCAAATTTGTTAAGCAAATTTCCTTGCTTGTATTAGTTAGATTATAGAACCACAGAGCATCATAAATAGCAAATGCATTTGGCTTCCTGGAGGCTTTTGTTTCTAAAGAACTTGAGGGGGACCCTGGATACTGTACAAAAACTTTAGAAAACAAGCAGGCCTGGGTTTCCATCACCACCCTCTAGCCCTCCTGCCCCAGACATCCCTCCCCTGGGCCTTTCACCAACTATAACCCCAGGGTGAAGCAGGCCAGGGGGGGTGCATGGGGACTCTACAGGTCTAAGATGCTGCCCTGGAAGAGCAGGCCATAAGGGTGAGTTTCCAACTTGGATGACCAGTGGAGAGAGAAGACTTGGAGGGGAGGGTTTCTTAAAGGCTCTTTGCTCCCAGGTGGGGAAAGGAAAACTCACCCAGTTTGGTATCCCATAGGGACATCCCACTGGCTCCACCCCCTCCCTACCTTAGATCCTTTCAATACACCCTCCCTCCCAGCCAAAAGAGGTTGGGGAGGATGAGTGGAGAGAAGGAAGGGGTGGGAGAAAAAAAGCCAAATACTTACAGCTATTCCATGGCTGAAGCCCGAGCCAGGCTGTGGGCTGGCTGCACCTATATAATTCCCCACTCCGGAGTCCTGGCTTGCTGGGCCGTAGAGGTCAGCGACGGGTCCTGGGCTGTTGGCCCCAGGGAAGCCTCCTGGCCGCGCTGGGTTGGAGCCTGCCGGGGAAGCGGGCGCGCCAAAATTCGGTTGAGCACTGTAGCTATTCAGGACTGGTGTGCAGAGAATAAAGCTGGGTATGAGGCCAGAAGCCAGGCATGCACCGTTCATTACAAGCCAAACACTCGAGAAAATACAGCTGAGGCCCAACTTCTAACACTCAACCAAGGCCATGCGATAACATCAGCAGGGACTCAATAGTCAGCCCAGGCTACTACTAAGAAGCTCAGAGCTCCAAAAATATAAAGATAATAAGAAACAATCATTCAACACACTATTGCAACCAACTGGAGGTGCTCGCTGCCCACCGAATTATCACAATAGAGAGAAATAGATATAGAGATATGTAGGAGAGATAAATATATAAATATATATGTATAAAGAGAGAAATATTATTCCACATCTGAGTTGATGCTCATGCACTCTTGTTCTAAATCTGGGCACGTTGAGACAGCATTCACATCCCATGCAAACTACAAAGGAACTAGTTTTAGACTACACATTGTGTTAATATTGATATTAAAACGGACAGCAAAGAAAGCAAATCGTGTCCAGAAAAAAAAAAATCTTGGGAGGGGGTGGATATTTGGGGGGGATTCTTTTGGTTGTGTTTTTTTGTTTTGGATCCATTAGATGATATACGGCATTAAAAAAAAGACACACACAAAAAAAAGATCTCTCACCCACCTCCTTCCCCGCCCCCACCCCCAATCCACTCCTCTCCCTCTTCCCGCCTCCCCACCATTTTGAGCACTGCATGAACGGTTTTTTGGACACTGAAACGTGGTCAGAGGATGTGGTATGTCATGGAAAGTTTGGGAGTCTTAAAATAACAGTAATGATGACAGCAAAGGAGTTCCTTCAGGTGTGGAGAGCAGGGGATGGAGGGGATGGGGAGAGGAGGCCTGGGGGCTGGGAACAAAGCAGAGGAGTCAAAGATTCTGTAGGGCACCCACACACTCACCTCCTTAGGTAGAAGGAAAAGGGGGATTGCTTTTTTTCCCTTTTGTTTTTGTTTTTGTTTTTTTAAAAGAAGAAGAGAGAGAAGTGTGAATACAGAGGGTACTAAGTGAAGCAGTTCAGAGCTGAAGCATGTTATATCTAAACGACTGGTTTCTCATAATCACCCCTGGATGTAGGACATGTCAACAAGGATGGGAGGAAGGGGAAGGGGAGGAGGGAGGGAGGGAGAGGGAGAGAGGGAGGGGGGGGGGGAGAGAGAGAGAGAGAGAGAGAGAGAGAGGGAGACCGAGAGAGAGCGAGCTCAGTATATACCTTTGCTACAGAGATGCCAGGGGGTTGAGGTCTTGCTATCCTGTGGATGGCGGTGGTCAGTTGGTGGGGCAGAAGGAAGACAACTGAAGACAATAGCAATACCCTCCTCTTTGCCTCCAGTCCCCTTCACTCCAGATACCCCACCCCACCCAGTTGTCTGGCCCCTCCCTCACCCCCACCCAGCATCCTCATTAACCGAGGTAAACACTGCTGTCTCTCTCCCCATATCTCCAATTCCCAATAGACTTTCAATTATGAATTTCCTCCCATTGCTTTTTTTTTTTGGGTAGAGGGAAGGACAAAGGAATGGGGTGAGCCTAGAGAGGGCACTGTCACACCCCTAGCCTGCTGAAGGAAGGAACAGAAGGCTCATCTCATAAAGGGTCACAGGAACTTCCATACAGATCTCTGGTTCACACCTGTCTCCTTTTTGCTACTTCCTTCAACTCTAAGGAAAGAAAGAAACTTTTCAGAAATGGTTATCTTGGATTGGGGGCTCCTTGAAGGCAGGGGTTGGTTTTTCCCCCTTTCTTTGTGTCCCCAGCACTTATTACAGTTCCTGGCACATAGGTGGCACTTAATAAATACTTCTTGACTTGACTTGCCGCCTCTCTGGTTCACTACCTTGCTGGAATGCATTAGCAATCAGAAAAGAAAAAGACAAATCCAAATGGACCACCCTTTGGGAGAATATAATTTGGGGCTATCCCTAAGTCCTGTCTCCCTCCCTTTGGCCTCTCAGGGCTGGAGGAGTCTACTGCTGATGGGACTTGAGAGGCAAACATATTTCTACCCTAATCTTTGTGTTGGGGATGGGGAGGAAACAAAGTGACCCAAACTAGCCAAACTAGGTGTGGAGGCAGGAGGAGCTATCAGGACAACTCAAGGTGATGGGAATAATGGAGGAAACCTGTCTGGGCTGTGGTACATAACAGAAGGCATGAGAGCTGGAAAGGATTTTAGGGCTTACCTGGTCCAACTCCCTTGTTTTACAGAGGAGGAAACAGAGGCCCAGTGGCAGGAAGTGACTTGTCCAAGGTCACAGAGTAAGGCAGAATGACGTGAATTGTAAATTAGCTGCCTCTCCAGGTCCCTCAAATAAGAGGGGCTATAGTAAGACCCCTTTGGGGAAATGAATAAATTGACCAAAGGAAAGAATAGGTTAAATACTCAAGAAAAAGAAAGAGAAGAAAAAGAAGCAAAATCACAAAGGCCCAAAGCAAATGGATAGATTATTTTGGGAAAAAAATGTACCGGCCGACAAAGGAGCCTGGGATTTTTGAATATAAAAGATTAAACTTGGAGATAACATTTGGCTCCTCACTCAAGGGGGCAAACATCAAGCTGAGATATTCCAAAGGCTGCATTATCTTGGTCTAACATACTTTTTTCTTCTGGGCTTCAGAAAATGAAAATTTTTTTTTGCCTCCCAATCTATCCAGGGAGATTTGTGCAATGGAACTGGCCAGTCCTGCTCCCAGTGGAGAGGGGAGGGGGAATAGAGAGAGAAGAAGTAGCTCTCCTCTCTTCTCACCACAGTAAACCCGTGAAGGTTTCGGGTAGGACCAGATGGCATGGGGAGGGGATACTCAAAATAGAGAGTTCACTTCCTAAAGCACCCTATTTACCGTCTCCTCTCTCTTCCCCCTCCAGCCTCCATGCTTTCCTCCTTGGTAGGAGAAATGCTTAGGAAACTTCAGAGAAAGGGTACAGCAGTCCCACAAAGTCTCCCTAAAATCATCCTTGATAGACGTTGAGAGAAAGACTGCATGGTAATGCTCCAATTACATCCATGTTGCCCCCCTGCCCCACCAATCCTCCAGGCTCCAAGCAAGCCTGCAATAAGATGTTGCAGATTAATAGTTAGACCTGAGAGTTTAAAAACAACAACAAAATAAAACAAACCCAAAACACGAAACCTGGGTTTATCCATATAGTCTACAATCCAGTCTCACTCATCTTCTTGCTGTGTCTTATTTACTATATTCCATCACCTGCCTTATGGCTGGAACACTCTCCCATCTCATCTCTGACTTCTGGCTTCCCCTAAGACTCAGCTCAAATCCCCTTTTCTATGGCTGGCCTTTCTCAGTCTCCCTCTTTCTTAGTGCCTTCCCTCTGAGACTGCCTTCCATATATCCTGTCTATATCTCATATGTAAATAGTAGTTGGTATATTGTCTCCCCAAATGGGTGCTGTTCTTTGCATCCCTAGTGCTTAGCACAGTGCCTTGGTATATAGTAAGTGCTTAATAAATGCTTATTGACTGACTTTGGGATGACAGGTGAGTTACTTGACTTCTCTGTGCCTCCGTTTAAATGGTGATAATTATATCTCTAGTATCAACTTCACGGGGCTTTTATGATTCTCAGATAAGATAATATGCAAATGGTATTTGCCAACTTCAAAACATTTTATTGAGGCAGCATGGAGTAGTGGATTGAGAAGAGGCTCAAAGCCTGGAAAGACCTGGGTTCAAGATCCTCAACCTGTCAGTGCTCTAGAATGCTGCCTAATCCATATTAAAATGTAATTGGGAAATATTTAACAAAATAAATAAAAATACAATGAAACACAAAAATGTTAATATGAGGTTATCTAAGTAAATATACAGTTCATAGGCATCCTTATGTATGGTTTATTTTGCCATTTTACAGATGAGGAAACTGAGACAGAGAGCAATTAAGTGATTTGCCCAGGGAATAACTAGTAAGTCTCATGCTGGATTTGAAAGTATGTTTTTCTGACTCTAGGTCCAGTGCTCTATCTACCCGCCCTTGACTATGTTCAATATTTTAATCACTTAGTTAGAGTATGAATTTTCAGGGGACATAGATAGCATGGGATGACAAAGTTGGTATCCAAGTAGAACCTGACAAGTTATGATGGTGTCGTTGTTCGGTTGTTTCAGTCATGTCTAACTCTCTGTGGCCCCATTTGGGGTTTTCTTGGCAAAGATACTGGAGTGCTTTGCCATTGCCTTCTCTAGCTCATTTTTACAGATGAGGAAACTGAGGCCAACAGGGTTAAGTGACTTGCCCTGGGTCACACAGCATGTAAGTGTCTGAGGCTGGATTTGAACTCACGAAAATGAGTCTTCTTGGTTTCCAGGCCAGTGCTCTATCCATTGCATCACCTAGCTGCCTATGGTTTAGTTTGGTGGGTTCCATTTCTATCTGAGTTTGACACCACTGGCCCAGACAACTTTCTAAGCCCATAAGTAAAGGACTATGTAAATGTGAGGTACAATTATTATTTTTACCAAGGCTGCTTCAAAGGAATTTGGTCCAACTGCAGCCAGCCTGGCTCTCATATCGTTCTAACCTTTCCCCTGCTTTCCCAGTAGATCACGGCTCAGGAGAGGGCAGAGAATGGAACCCTGAATTCTTCAGGCAGCTGGGAGAGGGGTTCATAACCTTTACAGAACCATTATATCTCTGGCAGTGAATTCCTTCACTCCGTCATCATAGATCTGGAGATGGAAGGGAGAGAAGTCTTTTAATTCAACTCCCCCAATTTACAATGAAGGAAAAGGCCTAGAGAAGTTAGATCCCAGTGTGACACAAGTAGCAAATGATAGACCCTACCCCCTTTTTACTTCTCCTTGGGTAGGAAACATAATTCTTTCAGCTCTAAAAAAGTTGTTATTTTTGCCTTTCTTTTTATCACCAGTGCCCAGCACACACTAGGTGCTTAATAAATGTCTGTTGACTTAACTTGCCTTGACAATGACCCCCAGAGACACAGTTGGGGAATTACCCATGCTGCTTTAAGAAAA